GTCACAAAGCATATCATTCTGTTTTGGTTATGGGCAGCAGGTATCACCATGAATCCTGCTGGACCTGGGTGGAGTTTAAGTTGTTTCAGTAAAATCTCTTATAATATCGTGTGAATTTTCTTAATCCAGTAAGCAACAATGCCACGGCAGTTCCTAAGAATGTGTGCTAATGAGGCAGGTCCTTGTCCAAACCTATCACAGTAGGAGCAAGAAAGATCTTTAAAAGTTTCAGTTTTGATTGGTGTAGCCTGTGTAATACTTTGAATGTTACTTTGAATGAAATAACTTCGGCATGGAAAATATGCACACACTATACAAAAATAGACGCTTGAGACTAACTGACATGCGAGATTCATGTGGAATCCACCAGGCTGTAACATCTTGCTACATGCTACTGTCAACATAGTGTTCTATGTTGTTTCCGTGCGAAGCTATAAAGGTGACCAAACTTAATCTGCATTTTATGCCCACGTCAACATTAACATGCCATTGCACATGAAAACAGCCTGTAAGAATAAAACTATTTTAACCAGACGGACTGTGCAGCATCCAGGAGAAGCTACTGAAGACGGTGTCACATGTGTCACGGTCCGCGTTCCTGTCATCTCCTCACTCCCCACTCACTGGTCCCAAACCACTCTGGTCTCCCTCGTCATGTGGTCATCAGCTTCCCTGCCCCCTTTTTGCCTCTCATATTCTGTCTCTCTCATAGACTCTCCCTCCCTTCTGAGTCTCCCCTTTTTCACCATGGGTGTCTTGCTGTCTCTTCAGTACACACACACACACACACACATACATACAAATCCCACACCTACAAATCCCATCATGAAGGAGAGTTCTGGGCCTCCTCTCCTGGCCTCTGACAGCGCTCTGACATCCACCGATATCCCAGAGGGAGATGCTGAAAGCTAAAGACAAGATAACAACACAGGGAAGTAGGAGGGAAATAGTTATTTTTTTTTTACTTGTGTGTTTTCCTCATCCAAATATCTCATCAGGTTATCAGCAGGTGTTGTCACGGTGAGGCATCAAAAGATGACCAGAAATGGACATCATCAGGCACTCAATCATATATGTTTATTAACTTGCTGTCATTTTTAGTTGTGATGTCTGACATAATGTGATGGTGTTTAACGTCAATTCTACGAAGAGGTTAAGACTCAAGTCAGCACCCCCCTGACAAACAAACATAACATATAGGCAAGGCAACAAGCAAGTATGACAGTGTGGCTAAAATCGTGCTGGCTATAGCAGTGACAGTCCATCACCCACGATACCTCATGGTACCTCTTTACCTTACTTTGCACACTACATTGACTCCCTTGCATACATTCTTTAGATTCTGATTACTGAGAAAATTCAGAGATAATGAGGAGTGGATATATTTGTGTTGATGTGTAAGGTGAGAGATGGGTTTCATCTACCAAAGGGGAGTTCTGCAAAAAGAGCTTTAATCCATCTTTGACATTTTAGAAAATGTTTTAAACTTTGTAATTAAGAAATGAAAATACCTCAAATATTGTTAGCTGCTTTGCAATGGCGTCCTTTTAGACGAAGTTCGGCGTTGGCTTGTTAACTTGCCTCAGGAATGGAAAATAAAAAGCCCATCTGGGGTGTCATACAGACACCTTTTATTCAACTCAGGCTTGACACCGCAGACATCTGAAGGCAAGACAACCTGCTACGGATGAAACTGCTCAACGAGCTCAGAGCAATTCTCTGTCGTAATCATTATTCTAGCCACCTTTACTTAATTTTCCACCAACTTTATTAAGTAGCAGTCGCTGCCAGAGATATTATTCCACAGCTTTATTTGCATAAAAAGCAACAGGGTGCTTTTCTGGCCATATGGGCCTCAGCGGAGCTATTTGCAAATTGCTGAGGGAAAAAGTAGAGGTATACAGATGGAATCCTGCGAGTGATTTACTTTCTTCGATGGACACAAGTATTAATTAGACAGTTTGATTGTTTTGCACCATCATAGCATCTTATGCCACTTGAATAATGAGTTACTGCTTGTAAGGGAGAAAGCTGTGCAGTATTCATGACCTTTTCATGATGTAGAAATGTAAAGCTGATATGTCACTTAAAGGATCGCTGCTTGTAAGTACTCTCTGTCCTTGATCTAATGCAACTTGAACTTGAAGGTGTCACTGTAATTAGTGTGTTTCTGAAGGATAGAGGAATTGGATGTTGAAGGCGTGGGCATATGAATATACTGTATCTACATATATGTATGAATTTCAGTCCTATTGTGTATTTTGAAGTGAATATCTCGTCGTTTAGGAACACAAAGCATCAATGAAACTTGAAATAAAGTTTTGATCCCAACTCTTGGCTTTCAAAGTTTTGGCGTTGGAAAATGTAGAAGATTGAGATGTCAACATGTGAAAAATGTACTTTTAAGCTGTATTATACTCTGCACACCAAACAATTAGATGTCCTCTTACACACTTGAAAGTTTAAAACAAAGTCAAGGACTATTCTTTACAGATAAAGTAAAGAGAAAACAGAGTATCATCTGCTTACATGTTGACTTTTGGTCTCTTATTTAATGCAAATTGGCAATAGATTGCACTCTCCTTGTCTTCAGTTCAGATTTAATGGAATACTGTAACAGGAAGGAATGGAAGAAAGTTTGTATGAGAAGTCAGCAAATTAGCATGTGATAAAGGTGACACAATATACAATTAAATCGCTTCAATACCTCAAGAGGAAATGTCTGAAGTCAAAATAACACTGTTAAAGAAAAATGTTGGTGGTCTTGTTTACTTATTATGGAAGACCTGGCAGGATAAAAGACTAAAAAATGCTTCTTGAATTGTGACACAAACATGCAATGATTTCCATCTGTGAGACATGCGTCGTGACTAGACCAGATCAAAGGACAACTCTTCCATTCACACCTTCACCGATTCCTCTTGACACCTGACAAGTCACACGCCTCCTTTCTCTTCTGTCTTTCTGTATCGTGAATTCTTGAAGTTCCTCTTTCTTTGAACTTTTTTTATGAGCCGAATAGAAAAAGGTATCTGAATAGATGCTTTAACAACTGTGAAGTTGACAGTCTCCCCCCCTCGCCTCCACCTGTTTGCCTTCAGCGACGGTCTTTTTCTGAACTGAAATTGGGAATCCTCTCCTTTCTCTCCACATTCATTTTCGCTTTCCCCTCGACTGAACATTTACCAATCATTTGGGAAGTGGATAAAGGCGTGTATACAGGGTGTTGAATGCTTTAATTTAGATTCAGATGGCATAAAGTGGGCTAATCGGAATAGCTGACAAAAGCTCTATGACGGAGAAGTGATAACCTGCGGGCCGCTTCCTTATTGCAGGAGATTGGAGTAAAGTGCTCCGTTGGTTTACGGGTCTAATTGCATGACTCAGTGTGTGGGGGGGAGACTGACACTACAGGAAAAAAATCAAGTGAGATTTAAAACCTAATGAGTTTTATTTTGCATTAAAAGTCACAGCAACAGTTTTTTGAAGTCTGTTTTGTGATGGATAGACGTTCTGATTTGCACTCAAGGAATTGGCCTCTGTCTGGACTTTTAGTAATGTATTAACCTTTTGTTTGCCTTTTTGTAAATTTAATTCAGTTCTCTCTTGTTCTTCTTCACCTTATAAAGTCTTTGTTTCTTGTCTTTCCTCACTCTCTGTGCATCTCTTTGAGCTGTCCTTCACTGTCTACATGGTGTCTAGTCAGAAGTCAGATCGCACATCAACTCACATACTGAAGTATCTTTTTTTTTTTTTTATCTCAACTTTGAATTTTGAGACGCAGTCGGGTTTCTTTTTCGTAAAAACCTTGCATGTCACTCGATTTTGCTTAGCCTGAGGATAAAATGTTGCTTCATTTGTTTTAAAGGGAGGTATATTTTAGTATCTCAGCATGAATATTTGTATACATGAACACCTGAGGTTAGTTTATGTGTTCCCGTGGGTTTGCTTCCTGGGGTGTTGTCGCAACCAAAGTTCCAACTACATCCGGGTTTGGACTGAATTCAAGTTCAGTTTAGTATGGCAATGAAATATTCATTAAGCTCGCTGGTCACTTAACTAATGTTTCAGGACAATGTCTCCTATACAGGTCCCCCCTAGTAAATCTTTTGAGCTAAAAGTGAAAAAAAAAAAGTCCGGTTTGATGATATCTATTTATTTTGATAGAAAAGTTTAATAACTTGGCTTGCCAAGTTAGATTTTCTTAGCAGTTGGAAGAGTCAGAACAAACCTTTTTAGATTTTTCCTGAAGAATAAGAAAAGAAATCAACTGAAAGCGCAATCTGTCATCGGATTCTTTCCAGAAGTTACGTTGCAATACTGATACTGATAGTGTCTGACTTTTCTTGGTCCACCGTTTTGCTTTCTTTTATCAGCCAGAGGGATGTTCGTACCTCTCTGTGAGCCTGTGAGCCGCATTCATCAGTGGGATATACAGCACTGTACAGTTTGTGTAGGTGGAGAGAATAATAAAAATGATGGTGACTGGTATGAGCAGGGGATAGGAGGGGGGGGGGGGTTATTAAAAGTCATAGCACTTATTCAAAATGCATAATGTCTGTCTGCATTGCATTATGGTCTCAGTATGTGGCGTACAGTGGGTGGATGAAATATTACTTCTTCTGTGATGTTGTGACTGAAGTTTTTGCATCTTGACAACAGTAAAGTCAGGTGGTTAACGCTGATGTTTTAGATGATGCACATGAACTGTTGATATGCTTGGATTTCTCTTCTGTTTTGCATTTAAATGTATTTTTACCCAAATATTCCTGACAATCCATCATATATTTACTGAGATATTTCATCTTAAAGCCCCAAAATGTCAACATCATATTGGCACTAGAATAAGAGAAAGTTCATAGAATTCATTCTATAAATTCAAGTATCAACATTTTTACCTGTCCAAGATAAAGTTCTATAGAGTTCCATTAATCAAGTTAGCTATTTGGCCGCTCTTCTTCCAATCTCATTTTTTTCTTCTATTGTTTTGTTTCCCTCAGAGCCAAGAAGAAGACCAAGCCCTTGAACCTTAAGATCCACAGCAGCGTGGGCAGCTGTGAGAATCTGCCCACGCAGCGCTCGCCCCTGTACTCTGAACGATCCCTGCGATCCTTCTTCTTCCCCTCCTTCATCCCTTCCACACCTCCAGTCCACGCTGAAACACCCTCTGCAAGTAAGTCAGCTCTTCTTTTTTTAATCAGCTCACACTCTATCTTTTATGAAAGTGTGATTTTTTTAATAACTTTCATATATCTCTCTTTTATAATCTAATACCTTTTGACTTCCGCTTATTTAGTTCTTGGGAAAGGGGCCCATTTCTTGGATTGCCATTATGATCTGTGCTTGGTTTAGTGCAACCTTGGGCTGAAAAATGAAATAGGGTCTTTTTTCAAACAAAACGTGTCCCTATAAGAGAAAGAAGTTTGAACCTGTGCACTATTGGAGTGCTTTGTCTCACTTTAGTCCTAATATTTATAACAGACGTTTCACCTTCTGTTCAACTTTTTGTGCTAACGTCCATAATTACATTTCTTCCCCATTAAGAATATACTTAAATACAGCTCTGTTTGAAAATGCAACAAACAGACATTTAGGCCACGTGTAATGACCGGAGGTGGTGTGTTGCTGCACATTAGCAGCCTTATTGACTGATGCATTACGATCATGCCGCGGAAGCCATTAGACTGAGGAGGAGACGAGGAATCATGGAGGTGATGTCGAGGAGACAAGTGATGGATGCCGGTCACTCAGCATTGTGAATAGTTATAGACCTCGTACACAGTGATGTGGGGAAGAGAAGTGCACATAAGTTGGTGGAGGCATGGCATGGAATAATCACAGACCATATTCACTGGAGACCAGAGAAATACTTGAATTACAAAGAATATATGTTTGGATGGTAGGCACATCTGCAGACTTTCTAATGTGTGCATGTTAGTTAAGAATGTAGGCGTAAATATATTTAATGTTTGGTTATAAACTTAGTGAAAAAGTGTTGTTTTCAAATAGTTTAAAAGTGTGATTATTGGCTTATGTTTATAAATCATACTGAATATACATACAGTATAATCCATTAAAAAAAAAAAAAACTTGTTTACATCATAAATCTCTCTGGCTGTTTATCCTTCTTCATTAAAATAGTTTCTTTATGTTTTAGTTATGTTGCTTATAATATAAGATTTATATTTGGGCCATTGTCTTTCTTTAACTTGGACAGTGGACGGAGTAGTACATCAGGAGAGAGTGAGGACAGATATGTAGTAAAGGAGCAGCAGGTCAGACTTGGAGGACTTTAGCTTCCGTATATGGGGCAACTTCTAACCACTAATATGTTCCAATGAAACCCTTTGTAAATGACAGTTATGTAGTTTGATTTACAACTTGCTCCTTGTTTGTAATTGTCTCTTCGTATAGGAACCCTTAATATAAACACAGCAAATTGATGAAAGGCAGCTTAAGGTGCAGGAGACACAAGTTACAAAATGTTTATTAGGAGAGAATCAGCTTCTCTTCAAACTTTAGATTAATTTCAGATGAAATCAGGGCATTTACATGTTGCTCTAAGACAGCCAGTCCAAGCGTTATTCAAGCCATTCAGATACTGCTCATCATCACTACAGAGCCTTTGGAGGACCACTTAAGGTCAAAAGCTTGTTGAAAACCTCATATCTATACATAAACGAAATGGAATGGAATTGTAATTGCTTTGTTGAAGTTTTAAATTAAAAAACTGCACAACAGCTCCTACATGTGACAAGCACGCCATCTTTAGAAAGTATGTAAGAAACATTTGAAGCATCACAAGGGGAAGAAAAGGTTGATCACTGGCCTTGGTAGGAGGAATGCTTAATTTGAGGTAAAAGTTAATATTTAAAAAGTTGTTTGACTTAAGCAGCTCCTGCTCACCTTTGCGGCCACTTAAAATAAACACTAATTTTTCAACCAGTTTTCCATTGATGCTGACTTTCAGTGCTGTTTGCCTTTTCTGTGAAAAAACGTGAAACCTTTAAAAACCTGGTTCTCGGATGATACAAGGTGAGTCCATGTCACTCTGTAGAGAAAACAAGGTTAAGCACTGTACCATAAACTCCTGAAGAGCATATTTTGCTCATGTTAAGCATATTTTGAGTTTCTTACTTACAGATTAACAAATTAACCTTATAAAAGTGTGTGTGTGTGTGTGTGTGTGTGTGTGTGGGGTGGGGGGGGGGGCACTGACGATTCAGGTTTACAGCATTGGCACTTTATCCTGCTATGGCTTTATTGGACATGGTGAGCACCACAGCTTGTTTAAAAAAAAAAAAAAAAAAAAAAAAAAGCAGAGATAAACCATCAGCTGTGGTGAAATGCTCCTTCAGGCTTCCTTGAGGAGTCACCTCTGACTTCTCTCCTCAATTTGATCTTCTCCCTGAGGCAAGCTTTACCATTTCCATAATACAGGATAGACTGTGTAAAGGTGTAATTAGTCTGACTTACAGCTATAAATGCTGAGACAACATGCAAGCGGTGTCTGCCTGGACGCCTAAATACACTAAATCTTTTGCGTTCCCGCACCATAATTATTCTGTCGGTTAAGGTTAAAGAAGTCTTACTGCTACAAATGCTCCCTCAGGCTTTCTGAGAGGAGTCGCGAAACACGCTAAAGATAACCTCTGACACCTCTTCATGATATTAGCTTCTTCTCCTGGTATTTATGACATTTTCTCCAAATACAAGTTAGACCTGCAAACACTTTATTTACGCTGGTGTTGCCCAAAGGTGTAAATCAAAATAGAAAAAGCAGAAGATTGGAACATTTGCCAAGGGGCTTCAGCGCTTGTTCTAAAACTATTGTTTGTGTTTGTTTGTGTGATCATGTGGACAAAACGAGTGTGTACTCCTGGTAAGCCAGGCTAAACATCCGTCCAAGGTCTATGTTTGGGATTTACGGTATTATTGCCGTCTCTTACGTCACAGCAGTGTCACTCATCTCTCTATTGGTCCAAATCAAAACACACACAGGAGCTACAAGACTGAGGCTGAGTGACTGAACATAAACTCAGGATGAATCAGTGTGTGGTCTTAGCTGAAATGTCAGTGTCACATATAGGTTTGTTTGGCTTTACATTGAGGATATTGATATGATACAGTTCGATAACAATGGCTTCACATTCTGGTTTTTTTAGACACACACTTTATGGCAAACAAAAATTAGCCGACACCTCGTATAACTGGCCAAATCAACATCCATCCCATCAGTACAACCCACTGTAGAGTTTTTGGAGCAAACATCCATTTATTCCATTTCTTTACTCCTGAATAATTTGTCAAATAACTACACAGACTATAGGGCTTTGTCATTTTAACTTGATGTATTTACACTTTGTGTCCTCTTTTGCTACACCGACATTAGTTTTAGTTTTAATAACTGTATTTGAAGGGCAGTCTCAGGTAACGGCATGTGGAAAAAAAAGAAACTACTTATCAGTAAATCATATTCATGTAGATTCTGTACTAGATGTTGCTTTGAACTACATACATTTCAATCCATTGTAGGAATGAAAATCGCTCTGTTCAGAATAAAAGAGAATGTGAGAACATAAATGGAAGAATACTTCGACTTTTTCCTGCAGACTCTTTCATACAAAGATCGCATGAAGTCCAAAAGAGCCAACACGTGAACACAGCAGGAAAGAGTGTGGAACAATCACATTAAGCGAGTGGGTGGGGTGAGGACGTTGTTTATGTTAAGCAGTTGCAAGTTTAGCACTTTTTTTCACTATTGCAGAAACACACTCGTGCATGTTATAGTAAAACCTTCACACGAAAAGTAACCATGACTGAAGACTCTTCCTCCTGTACATTCTCCCAAGTTGCCCCCCAAGTCGCCTTAACCAAATGGATGTTGTAAGAGACCCTCCATCATGCTAGTGCCCTAATAGGTATCTGAACATGTCCTGACATTGTCTTGAAATTGTCTGGAGTTCATGCTTTAGAGAGGCTTAAGAGTCACAATAAACCAAGCAAGTGATCTAGCATGCACATAATCAGAACCTTGAAAATGGCTTAACTGAAAAGATGGAAAAAATATCTTTTAGCATTGCCTCTAGGACTGTTGAAAAATACGATTTCTGATAACATACCCAAACAAAAGTCTGTAGACATAAAAACCTTAGAGTGGCCATGAAGGTATTTGTTGCTGTCGAACTAATAAAGTCACTTTCTTGTTTATTGTATTGTACGGAATCATATGAATATTGTAGTATATAAAGTTTTAAAATATGTAATTATTTGAAAGCAAGGATCTTTCAAATGTTTTGTTGTTGTTGTTGAGTACCCTCATGGCTAACTTGGATTATGAATATTTAGTTTTCAGTGTTTTTGCTTGCTCCAGGTGTTATGATAACCCATTGTTTGTTCAATGTGAAAAGCTATGGTGGCCACAGAGGGACATTCTCCACTAACAGCTCACCTCTAGTGCCTCGGGCTGTTTGAGCTCATGCATTCAAAGCGAATAGATGCCCAAACTTGTAATGATGCCTGGAGTTAACTTGGAGCTCCAGTACTAACCCTGGGATGCCACCAACAAACACACACACACACACACACACACACACACCCTGCAAAAGGGCTGTGTAACAGTGTGTGCGCAAGGCAGAGATCGAGAGACAGCGAGAGAGTGAGTGTAGGAGTCTGTGAGTGTGTGCTTGTGGATATAAATGGCTTAAATGTTCTTCATCGCTTTGTGCACAACTCACTCTGTTTATTTCTGCGTGTTTTAATGACGTCACCTGCTCGCCCTAACCTTGCAAAGACACTTCTCAGTTGCGTCACAGATCTCCTAGCAACCAAGCGTGGCACCACAATGGAGGTCCCTGTGAGAATTGGCAAATAAATAATGGCTACAAATACCAGCTAAATTTAAACAGGGTAAGGCAAAAGAGCCACCAGAGAAGAATAGTTGGGGTTGGTGTTCGTCCATATTTCAGTAGACATGCTTTTACGAGACCAATAGTCATCAATCTTTGGTTTATTTTTATTCACCCACAAAACATAGTATACCAAATCTCCCCTTTCCACTTATTTTCTTGTGCTACCAAACAAAATGAAGAAGAAGCTTGCTGCAACATATATTTACAGTACATTGTCCACTTCAACATATAGCCTAAAAATAACTTTTAAACATAACTTAAC